TGAGAAGTTAAAAAAGAGGAAAAAGGAAAAAAAAAAAAAAAAGATACGATCCACTTGTCAAAAATTCAAGACTGCATTATTGTGTGGTCAGGTGGGATAAAATAGGTTTAATCCTAACACAGGTAAACTTCTATTATGAAAAATACAGGAGAGAGGTTCTGTGCACAGGTTGTGTGTGTTGTACAGCTGTGATGACTAAGGCTGACTAAGCCAAATGTTTCCAACTACACCCATCATAAACAAGACACTAACCAAATAGGCTTGCCAATGCAGGAAACAGGAGCTGTATGAATGCATGACATCACAAACCTCCGTTTGTTAGGTGGACAACCTTTGTGAACAAACAGTTTCCCAAAACCAGAAGGTTCATATAACTTGCTAATCGGTCCATCTGAAATGCAACCATTCATGCTTACCAAGTCTGACTTTCTGTAATAAATCCATTCATCTGATTTTGACAACAACAGGCAGGTTGCGACAACCCAACTTACTGGAAGGTCTTGGAAAGTGTACTCCCTACCTGCCGGTGTCATGAAATCATGCGGTCCTACTCATTTTCACAAAAAGATGGCAAAATCTGGCTATTAGCAGCACATGTTATTTAAGTGTATCAACCCAAAAGCACCTACAAACCTGACCTGCAGAAGATGTTTAGAGAAATGAGGTGATCCCTAAGATCAGATGCCCTTCAAGAACACAGTACATCCAGAGCCGTCTTACCTCTGCAGATTCGAAGTCCTAGACAATATTTTATTGGCAGCAGACTGCCTCTGCTATTCCCTATGGAAGTGTCGGTGATGTCACGGACAGATCATGCTCATGGTTCTTAAAGAGACAGCGTCCATTAGCACCCAGACCATAGTGCTCATGAAATACATTTGATAACAGGCATGGAAGAGATTGCAGAAGGCTTTAAATATAATGTAGAGCTACTGAGCAATTACATTTAAGTTCTTGGTAGATGCTTTCTGATCAATGCACCTAACAAGAAGTACACAAATATAGTATTTTGGGTTACACTTTATTTTAAGGTGTCCTCGTTACAGTGTAATTATACATTTAAGTACAGAGTAATATTAACTACATGTAGGCTACTTACTATATGGTTAGGGTTAGGATTAGGGTTTGGCTTAGGGTTACTTGCATGTAATTATGCATAATTCATTGCTATTATAATAGTAAGTACATGTAACGTGCAACAAGGACACCTTCAAATAAAGTGTTACCGTATTTTCTATGTAGCCTTTTCCAGAGCAGGAAGTCAAGGATACAATAAAAGCATGTGAGCAATTTATTATTATTGTATTATTTAAAAATGCAGTTCTTTTGATCAACATTAGATTAGCATTCCCTACTGCACTACTTGCAAGACAGCAAGAGAATAGGCTTAAAGTTTTGGGTAAATTTTAATTTTAGGCTTTGAATCTGCACCAGAGCTGGACTCACGCGTGCTTACTGTACGATTCCTGTTCGTCACCGCAATCGTCTTTACCTTGATTGCGGTCTTCATCCATCAAAACTTTACTAGCGAAACACTAGTTATCCAGTCGAGAAAATCTAGTTTGCATGTGTTGTGTTGACAATCTGTTCAGTCTGTACTTCACACAGTGCTGCGTGTGAGGGCTCACGCTCTCCAGAGACAATCACAGAATAAGACAGAGCTTGTGTTTAAAAGCGAAACACACTGGAATAAATAATTCACTGGAGACGC